AATTGTTTTACTAAGACGTAAATAATTTTAAAGAAATTTCTCAAAATTGATATTACAGGAGCAACAATTTTTTCATGAAGCTTAACCACTCACACGTGCACAATAAATCGTACAATAAGTGTAATCTCGTTTAATTATTTTCTTTCATTTTCCATATTGTAATTCCATTGTAATGTCATATTACAATCAATGTAATTTTGTTTAAATATTTTCTTTCATTTTCTATGTTGCGTTATCCTTTCTGTTATGGCAAAGAGGCGAGTTACAATATTACAAATAATGGGAAACTTATTTCTACAAGCCTAGGAAGTAATTAAAAAAAAAAAATAAAATTAATCATTCATGGCACTGTTGCCTCGCAAGAAATCGCGACGAACCCTCGGTTTGGCGGATTATCGTCATAAACTTGTTCAATTACACTTGGCCGCCAGACCGAGGTACCGGTCCTCTCGCGCGTACCGTACCTCCCGTGGAGAGGTCACGTGCGCGGTGGAAAGTCACGCGGCAACCCCTGGAAAAAACCCCAAAATGGGGGTTTACTAATGTTAAGCAACAATCCCCTTCCCTTGGAAAGAGCTGCGTCCCACCTAAACAACCTCCTCCAATGAGGAGTCACCACCTACAACCCCCAGAAGAAATCGGCCACCAATCAGCAGCTGGCCGAGCGGATAAAACTAAGGAAACGAGGCAGAAGCGCGTCCTTTTTTGGAAGTCTTGGCAGTTGGTCTTACGAAAATTAGTATTTTGATAGTCTCGTGGCGACATCACCTCAAGTATCACTCCGTTGCAAATAAAACTAGTTCTTAGTATTTCACACTGAATAAATCAAGGTGTGATTAAACTCGCGTGCCGGTTCGGCAATTAAGCATCGAACATTACGCGACCCGAACAGCCACATCCAGTTGAGAAGAATGTGAGCGTTAAGGGATTGAAGCTCCTTTCACACGCAAAAATCCTGGAAATTTAATAAAAATTCTCGAATCACATTTTACCAAGTATTATCACGGATATCATCATCATGTATCGCGAATTTCCCCCTTTTACGAGCAACTTTCAAAGTTCTCTACATCAATAACCTTGCGGGATACCAGCATTCGAAGCTGTCAGGTCGCAGAAGTCGACGAAGCAACAGCTGACGAATTTCCTCGGCGAAACAAAGTCGACGTTCGTCACTTGTCTTATTAACGTCGTACTTTTTCAAATTTCTTGTTCGCGGAAAGAGTCGCCTGGACACGATACAGAGTTGGTCAACTTTTCGACCAGCTCAGACTGCCTCGTTCAATTCGACTAATTTATTTCGTACAAGAGCAACTGTTACAGATTTACGAAACGAAAAGACGCTCGTTGATCTGGTTTTCTTCGCGATATAGTCCAGAATGAGAAGTTTAGAAGATAATAATTGCCACCTTGAATATCTCCAGAACTATGAAAGTAAGAAAACAATTCTTTCGAGTAAAAATTGTTCGATATGAAAGGTGGCATCGTATGGTTGTAACGATTGTTTTGCAAGTAAAATCGCTGAAAGAATACGAAGATGGTCCCTGTCATACTTTTTTATTTACTTGCATTTGTATTTTTTTACAAAGATCTATGACACAAGGTCGGTGAAGGTCGCAGAGGCGCATGTGGCTCAATAAATTCTGACGTCATTAAAAGAGCAAATGAAGCAACAGTAACAATGATCTTGACTGATGTATCATGTTTGCATTCATCGTAGGGGCTGTTATCAGCAAATAAGTAAAAAAACGTGATTGTTGAAAAAACAGGGATGACCTTCACATCTCTTCAGCGACTCCATCCATCAAAAAAATTGTTATAACCGTGTGATAGTCCTTTTTATAGCAAACAACTATGGCAAATAAATTTCTCAGGGTAGTAATTCTTACTGGTTCACCCTGTATATAGAAAAATAAACAAACCTGCCTAATTTTCATACCATTCATAATATGGTAGAAATCTGGAAATTTTTGTTAGAAGAAGCTAGGACAAGTGGGTATTAAATGGAGTTTCTAAAAGATCGACAAATTCTCAAACAACAAAAAGTCTACCTTCTTAAATTTAGTACCAGTCGATCGAAGTGTACAAAATTTCGAGAAGTTTCCAGTGGTTTCTCCTCGTTTCTCGCCAACTTTTTATCACTCTTCTTAGAGAAGAATATTAATTTTTTACGAATTCTTTTAGTGTATACATTAAAAACCTTTTAACCAACTTTGCCATAAATTTTGCCGTCCCGCTGTACCTCTATAAGGCAAATAAATGCAGAAAGATGTAATTTCGTCCCCAGCTTCCGTATTCACACGATACAGTCGCAGAAGTGGGGGTTATTACAAGCTACTCTGGCTAATGGTAGGGGAAGCAGCTTTGTGCGGACAGAATTTTCGACACTGGCTGTTAGAAGTCGAACTGGCGAGCGATTCAAAGCAGACCACGCTTCTCAAAAGACAGATAACGGCCAAAGGTAGCCTTTTTGCCGATCTATGGTAATTTCAGGATGGATGGAATGAGCTGCGAGAGACAGACCAGCCTCTACTGTATCGGAAACTGCGCGCTGCCTGGAAATATTGTGCCTACGGATTATTTACATTTCAAACTAGGCGACTGACTCCCGATGGGGAATAATTCCTTCTTTCCCTTTTTTTTCCTCGACGAACCTGAGGAAGGATTACGGGGTTATTTCATCGAGGTTTGATTGCGGTGCACGTGCAGTAAGTATCGATTTTTATCGATACGTGTGCATTTAATTGTTTCTTTAAAGAGAATTTTACGGAATATGTCACTTCTCTTCCAGAATCACCTCAGCTACCCCCCATTTCCGGGTGTTCGAGGAGTTACGGGACACCCTGTATATTCTTCTATAAGTAATTTTTAAAAGGTAGAAATTTAAGCTCGCGAAAATTGAGCTCTTCAAGGAATTTTGGTAAATTGAGATTTTATTAATTGTGAATTAATCATGACAATATTTTCTCTTCCATGCTTCCTGAGTTCTGCTCTAATCAAATTTGAGTAAATCTGTATTTACAGAAACGTAGGATGAATTAGGAAACCAAACTCATTAAAACTCCCTTTAAACTTGGTACTCATTAACCCCTCTGTTACCAGAATAGAAGAAGTGATTTTGGAAAAGGAAAAGGTTGTTCAGAGTCACCTCAGCTACCCCCCATTTCCGGGTGTTCGAAGAGTTACGGGACACCCTGTATAATTCTAAGATAATCTCAGGTACATAGTGTACCATTTAACACAATTTCATTACACAAATATCATGGTAATAAAAAAGATTCCCTATATCACACAAATCTCATATTATTGATATAATAGCAAATTTCATAGGCATCAAACTTTAGCAAAAAACAATATAAATCAAATGGAAGAATTTATATTACAATTACCAAATGAAATGAATTCTTTCTAATTATTCATATTATAAAATTGCAGCAAAGCTTATGAACAGAAATATCAATCTTAAGTCGCTGAGACTCGTCCAAATGTATGCAAATATCGAATGCTAATTAGTAGACTGCGGATTTTTATGCAAATTCATATTTTCGAGAATACAGTAAAAAAAGTAGAAATTCGGTAGAAAATTATTTTACCTATCAGGTATTATAAAAATCACTGTAATTTCGATATTTTTTTATATTACGTGCATTCTGTGCAATTTTGCACCTTTCGATTTCCTATAAAGTTATTTGTTATTAATTTTCGTTATAGCACTTTCGTCAAAATTATTTGTTAAAGAACATTGCTTGTGTTGTTTAATAATAGTATTATATTTGTAAAATAATATGGTAAATCAATATTCGTAAATATGTATTGTAATTTCGGACAATATGCCAATTTTCATCAATATTAAATCTGCTACTAATTCTTTATAGATTTCAAATTGATGTTGTAGGGATCGGTAGGAATTTACCTCACATCGATTGATTTGAACGACAAAAAATTGATTAACAAATTCTTAAAGTTGTCAATTTTTGTGTCACTTGCAAAGCACAGTGATTCGAAAGTTTCGGAATCTAATGGTGCAAAGTTCAGACAGCGGTACTCTGTGCATAAAGAAAGAAGTAATTCCAGAATATATTCCCAGACAAATCCCTGAAAGATGCATAGTACCATCGTAGAAGGGTTATGACC